TATTGTGGCTTAGAGGGAGAATATACAAGGAGGTCTTGGCATGAGCTCTCTGGCTCAGCCTGACTGTGCAGTCAGCCTGTGCCCCATCTGCCTACTGCTGCATGCAGAGATGCTCTTTCTTTTTTTTTGGATGCTAACCCTGTAGGATGAGCCTTTAGGTTTGGTTGAAGCACTGTCTGCACTGCTGTGAGATGGCGCCGTGGAGCAGCCACCCCAAAACCTTTCCTCCAGACCCCATGGGCACAGTGATGGGGATGCACTGAATGCAGACATGGGCTTGGGGTTTGACCTCCAGGTGTTCTGGTTTGAGTGCAAACCCAGGGATGGTTCCAGCACAGGTCCTGCAGGCGTTGTCCATTGCAACGTTGTTTTCTGCTTATGGATCTCAATCCTGACCCTTATGGAGATGAAAAGCCTTCCTTTTCTATTTCCACAGGGTCATAAAATCATTAAGGTTGGAAAGGCCACCAAGATCATTTAGTCCAACCAGCAACCCATCAATCATCCCCAAGGTATTTATTCTCCTTCAATCCATACACAACACCCCTTACCACTCTGGTACTGTTCCTTGCTGCTGTTTTATGCTCACTGCCATTCACGTTTCATGTCTTCCATAGGGAAGAGCCTCCCATCTATCTGGCTTGGCTTTCTCTTGCCCTGCACACGTGGCTGCCTTCAGCTGCAGCCTGCAGGATTTTGGTTCTTCTGTGAGCCAGCAAATGGTCTTGAACAGTTCCCAATTATCATTCACAAATTCCTGCTCAAATTCTTTCCCCCAATTGTTTTGCTTTGTAATTATTTTCAGCTTTGTTAAGCTGGCGCTTTAAATCATCAAGTAGATACATTACTCGTTTGGGTTTTATTCTATTTGCACATAACAAATGTAATCAAATCAGTCCCTTGTACCTAAGCTGCTACTATATTTTTACATCCTGTCATCAGTTCCCCTTGATCTGTAAAAATGAGGCCCGATATAGAATTTCTTCTACGTTAGATGCGATTGTTTCTGTGTCTGGATATTTTCAAGTGTAATTTTAGGAATTCCAAGCACATTTTTAGTATTTGCAGTACAAGGCTCCAACATATGGCTTTCAAAATGAAATCCCCATAGAAATGCAGTTCTCTTTCTCGAATGATATAATTAAGTTTACAATAGATCAGTGCTACATGAAAACGATCGCGCTGGTAATATTGTACAGCATCCTGAAGAGTTCAACAAATATTTATGTTTCTTAGGGGAAGAGGCAAGATTTTGTGAGTAGGTCTTATAACAAGAAAGGACCCTTTATACTGAAAGAGTATTATATAGTAGCTCTTAATTAGAGATAATGAATACCAGCAGGTTACGCCTGTGTGGAAGAAGTTTACTTTAGTGCTATTATTTTTTAAGGGATAAACAAGGTGGCTCAAATAACTACAGATTTTTCTGCCTGACATTAATCCTAGACAAAATAATGGAATTGCTGATAGTACATGTAATTAGTAAAGAATTAGAGGGATTAATGTAAGTAGTGTCAGTCAACATGGGCTTATAGAATATGGTGCTTGTCTAATTAGGTTTTTTTTTCTTTTTTTTTTCCAGGAAGATTACAAGTTGTGTTGATAAATGTAATAATAGTGAGGTCATTGGCTTCCATGAGCCATGGGTATGGTGGACCAGCCTGGAGCTGAGCTCTGAGCAACAGGGCGGCTGGGTGACCTCGCTGCAGCCCAGATTACTCTGAGCTCCCCTGGAAGTGTTGTCTTGGCTCCAAGTAACTTTTTATGTAAAACGCAAATGATAGAAAACCAATTAGGCACTTCTGGAATGGGTAAAAAACTGCTGTCATCTCCGATTTTAAATGGGAATTCATCAGTGGGCAGACATGTTTCTAATTGAGCCCAGGAGTTATCGCTGATCCATCTTCGAGGTGAGGTCAAAATATGAAGAAGAGATAAATAAATTAGAGGACAGATCACCAGCACAGCTTGATTTACATTCCATTAGTAACCTGGATGAAAACAAGCAGCGTGCTCTCATAGAGCCCACGTAGAGCTGGGCCATGTCTGGGGGTTGGTGACTGGAGATTTGTGAGAACCCTGAGCCGAGGAGCAACCCTGCATGGGAGAGCGGCAAAAAAGAGAGAGAAATGTTTTCTTTGGCCGCACGAAAGGGAGGAATATTGGAGACAAGGAGGAAGGTGCTCCTCCTGCAGTTTCCAGTTGGGACTTTGGTAGTTTGAGGGAGATGTTGATGAATTGGAGAGAACTGAGAGGGGGGTTTTAGGGATTATTAAGTTACGGGAAAGCACATCTTCCTCTGGAGGCGGAAGGTTCGGGCTGTCTGGTGAGGGAAGGTGGCGGTGAGAGCTGAACGCTGCTGGAGGGGGGCATGGAAACAAAGTGAAGGCAGACTTCAGCTCAGCAGACGAACGTAATAGGATCCAACAGAGGGGTGCTGAAGGTGGGGACGTTCAGATTAGAAATAAAACACGTTTTCGGCGGTGGGAGCAGCAGGGCCACTTAACAGCGCACCGAGAAACGTGAAGCTTCCCCTTTGCTGGAAATTTTTACGTGTTTTTCTTTTCCTAAAAATATCCACTCTCCTTTTAGGAAGAATTGTTTCTGGGAAGTCTTAAGGTTTGGGTTATCCTGGAGATCAGAAGTGGAAATCACAGCGATCTCTTCTGGTTTTTGTAATGGATTCATCCAACGAGCCCTGACACCAGGAGCTCAAACCAACACCAGAGGCTGTCCCACAAAACCAGGCTGATCCAGAAGTGCCTTAGGAGCTGCAATCATTTCTTACCAGCTTTGGTGAAGGCTTCTGAAAGCAACAATGAAGCAGGGGCTGAGTTTTCTGCAGGCCTTGTTATTTGTTAAAGCGTTCTAGATCCAGATTAATTCACTTAGCTTCGTATTGATTCCTTCACGTGCTTGGAAATGAGAAGGGCAAACACAGCTGCATGCTGGTGGCTGCCTCTCCTGGGAGCCATACAGAAGAGATCCCCGATGGTTTGGGAAGCTGCTTAACTCAGTTTTGGGGACTTACGGAGGTAAACTGACACAAATCCCACCAGTGTGGACGTTTCCAAATCGAGTTACATGTTTTAAATCACTTGAGGCTTTATCCTTTTGCAGCCCGGCTGGTTGCAGCGGCGTGCTGGGGCAGCAGGGGCTCCCGCAGCACATCTGCCTGCACAGCTAAGCTGGATTATTTATTTATTATATGGGGAGTTTATATGTTTATTATAAGTGGAGATTTTTCATTTATTATACAACTGGATTTGTCCCCTATCTGCTCACAGTGCTGTCTGGAGATGGGGATGCTCTCTACCAACTAAGGGGACACCTGAACCCAGGTGCACTGCTCAGAAGGTGAAGCCAGGAGGGATGGAGCCCTGCTCAGATGTGTGCTGTGTGCCACCTCTGTGTGGCTGTTAATTTAGGTCTTGATTTGGATCTGCAAGTCCCAGTGTATTTCTAGGCTCCTGAATGTGTTGAAGGACTCATGTAGACACTTAGAAACAGTAGGGAGAAAACCAGGAGTGTGTGAGTGAATGGGATTAACAGGTCGTGGCTGTTCACAGATCCTTCTCTTAAATATAATGAGTTCATTACAATATACCCATGGTACAGAAGTTCTATAAACAAGCATTAAAGCCTGTCTACTCAGACTCCTTAAAGTCCAGATCTTGGAGAGGAAAAAAGATTTGGGGCAGAAAAAAATAGCAATTAGAGCTAAATGGCAAAACGGGGAGTTCATTTGTAGTGAGAAAAAACTCTTTTTAGTTTTTTTTTTCTATTAACTTTTGTAAGAAAACACTTTTCCATACTTGTCAGGCTTGACAGTTAAAGTTAATGGTGTTAAAAAACAGAGTACCGAAAAATGTTCCCTTCAGCGTCAAAGATTTATTCCATGAGAATTTGCCTGAAAAATTATTTTGTCCAACAGGGCTGGCTGTGCCCAGTGCTTGGAACAAAGGTCTTTGCTGTGTTATGGTTATGAGGACGGCCCCAAATTCATGATTTTCCAATTAAGATGCCATGACCTATTTTCTTCTATCGATGACCTGCCGTTGACCCCCTTTTAAAAGCAATGCCACCCTTCCAGTGATTTTTTTTGTCAGCTTCAAGAAAAGCATGCTGAGCTCCCTTCTGCCGGGAGTGAAGCTTGGTGTGCATGGGGATGCTCAGAGACAGCATTTGTGAGCTAACCTGCACAGAGTGGCACAACGTGGAAGGAAGGGGCTTTTCACAAACACAGGGTGGTGAGGCACTGGCACAGGTTGCCCAAGGAGGCTGTGGATGCCCCATCCCTGCAGGCATTCGAGGCCAGGCTGGATGTGGCTCTGGGCAGCCTGGGCTGCTGGTTGGTGACCTGCACACAGCAGGGGTTGGAACAGGATGAGCATCATGGTGCTTTTCAACCCAGGCCATTCTATGATTCATGGCTGCCCGCCTAACCAAGAGGCACGAAGCTTCCTGAGCTGACAGCCTCCTTATTCACCTCAGGACTTAAATACTGAAGTAGATATCACCTCACTGCATGGCTTCTTGAAGTTAGGCTGCAGGGCCGTGCCTGTGGGTTTTGTCCTGGCTGTGGCCCATATCCAAAAGCTGAGGCCTGTGAAATGTCAGCCTGTTACCCCTTTATTCACCCTGCTGATTTAGTGCTGCTTTTTATAATCTGGAGAGATTTAGTGTGCATTAAACACTTTGACCTCTCCAAATCTCTAAATTCTACCCATTGAAAGTAGATGTAAATACTTGTAAATACAAAGTTAGTATAGATTGGCAGGGCTCCACTGGCCTCCAATCTGGTTGGCACCGTTTGGGAACCCAGCCTGGTGCTTCGAATAAATCCATCAGGACTTACTCTAGAGAGGTAGAGATTTAAAGCCAGCAGTGTTAAAGAGCTGGTTTGGAGCTCACCCATGTCAGAAATCGTATATGTCTCAGCTGAAACCAAGACACTGCTACCATGGAGTAAGCTTTCATTGTGTGTCTTTTTCAGAAGAATGGCAAAGGCATCCTGAAGCCTTCGTGCTCCCTGGGAACACACAAGCGCAGCTGCTCTCTGTCACCATCAGTTCTGGGATTGCTGCTCCCTCCCATTTTTCCCGTGGTGGATTCTGGTCTGACCAGGAACTGGAGATCTTGTTCTGGTTATTGGTTGCTAAGTGTTCTGAGGAGGGCTCCTTGCTGCAGGATGGTCCTTGCTGCTCAGTGTGCAGGTAGGGGATGCTGCCAAACACGTGCTACTCTTTTGCCCAGGTCTATTTGCTCTTTTCCCAGCTGTGCTCTGGCTCCTCTTGCATTCTTCTGTTGCCAGAGCAATGGCACTGATGTGGCTGCAGATTGCCCTTAGGAAAGGGGTGCAAACAGAGCAGATCATGCTGTTCCTGCAGAACATCTGGGAATGCAATGTGTGCTTGGCTTTAAAGCTTCCCAGTAATGTTTGGTAATCCTTCAGTAAATCAAGTCCTAGGATACCCCTATACCACTAGTCCCCATTGCTATTGAGGGGAAGCAATATCTGGCAGCTTCGGGAGCTGTAGAGCTTAGGAATGGGCGTTTGCCTCTAAGTGGAGCAGAGCTGGGACCTTCATCCTTCCTGTGCCTCTTTGGAGTTGCTGTAATGGTGCTGCTGGGATGGATTCTGGGATCTGCACCAGAGCCATAGCAGATTAGACCAAGGGAAGAATGGTGATTATGTCTGCCTTCTTCACCTCTGTCCAAAAGAGGCTTTGCTAATGTTACAACTGAGTCACATTTCCCTGACCTGGGAGATGAGTTTGTTTTTCCTGGAGAAAATTCAGCATTCCTCACATTGTGAGTTCTGAGGAGCCACACTTACCAGTGTGAGAGCCTGGGGAGAGTGAGGAGCAGTGAGATCTGTGTGGATAAAGCCATTCCATCGTCCCATTGACACATGCTTCCTCGAGGGAGGCGGAAGATTAGCAGATGGACGAAGGATTTGAGCAAAACTGCTCTCCGTGTGGCTCCACAATGGTTCCTAAATCCACCTTTAGATCCTGTATGAAGGAAGCCTGATTTCTCTTGGCACTGAAAACTGCATCTTTGGATTGCAAGTGCTTCTGGTGCAGAGTGCTTGAGTGCCCAGAGATGGAGTTAGAGCCCAACTTTGTGCTGCTATAACTCAAAACCAGCCACCAGATGATCGTTTGCTGCAAGCTACTTTGCGCGTGGATGTTTTTGCTGGGATGAAGCCGTTCTAGCAAGATTGATTTCAAGCTCCCCTCCTACTTCTCATCTGCGCCAGTAGCCCTTAGGACAAATAAAACAAACCCCAAAATGAACTAAATTCCTTGCCTGCACAGAGCTTTCAATTCAGTTCAATTTACAATTATGGATTTTGACTGGTGGTTATTGTGCCTGACTGGGTATGGAGCCATCTGCCCTGGGCTGGGTTCCCACGTGCTGCCTTCAGATGGCCGTGCTGGCAAGGGGAGACCCGGCTCTTGGTCGCACAGGAATACCAAATAATGTTTTAAATGAGGGGAAGCAACGCTGTGATGCCATTTGTGAAAAGGAAGAAGATGCCCAGTGTGTTCGCCTTCTTTTTATGACCTATTGTCTCATGCTGAAAGTAGAGGTGGTCTCAAAGGAGTCCAAACTGCAGAGAATTCAGCTTTTTTTTCTTCCCTCTCCTAGAAATATGTTTGCTTTTAATGACATATTCATCTATAAAAGTTAAAAATAACATGCCTCATTAAGTTCAAAGCACTCTGGGACACCGTTTGCACTTTTTGGCTGAAAAGTTGAAATTTCCCTCCAGAGAGGATCGTGTTGGGCTTTGGGCTCAGTGTTCTGTCTGCCCCAGTTGTACACGGCTGTGAAAGAGGCAGGGGAGCTTAGCAGCACTGTTCCCAAGTGCTGGATCTTATGGAAGCTGAATTCATGTTTCTAGCTGTAGAGAAGTTGTTTGTGTCTGCTGTGCTTGCTAGGAGGCGAGTGAGCAATGCATGGCTGATAGGAACCAATCAGCTGGTCTGTACCTGGACTTTGCCAGCTGTTCATTTCATGAGAAGATGCTTCTACCTCATTCACAGAATCCTAAAATCATTAAGCTTGGAAAAGGCCGCTAAGATCATCTCATACGCTGTATGCCTGCTGCCTGTTTGGGCAGTAGTACATGTCCCTAAGTCACACATCTCCACGGTTCTTGAATACCTCCCCCTCGTCTCCCTGGGCAGCCTGTGCCAAATGCATCACCACTCTTTGGAAGAAGTTTTTCCTAATCCAGACAGAACCTTCCTGGTACATCTTGAGGCCATTTCCTCTCATCCTGTCGCTGTTACCTGGGAGAAGTGACTGACTTCTGCCACATCACAACCTTGTCCTTGTTGTATTGCAGACATGAAGAGAAAACCCCCTCCTCTTGTTTTGCTTTGGGAAGGGAGGGAATGGTTCCAAATATGGCTTTACAGAAATAATGGCTTTATCAAATGTCTGTGGCACTTCACAGCATAATGCTGCCATTTTGGTCCTCAGAACAGGCAGAAAGTGTCATTTCCTCTCTATGTGATCTCATCCAGATTGTTGTTAGAACTGTATCTGAGTAGGAAAAGGGATACAGTGCAGCCCAGCGTGTTACAGCTTGTAAATGGTGAGGCTGAACAAACGGCATTGGATGTGCATGGTGCAGAAGTGGGGATGCCAGCAGCAACATGTGAGGTGGGATGCCTGGGTGTCAGGCAGGGGGAAGATGATTAATGGAGCCAGTGTGGTTCCTACTGAGAGCAGCAAAGGCTGAGCTGCTGGGCTGCGGAAAAGGCTCGGGTTGCAGAGTGTGAGGTTGGAGATGGAAGGAGGTGAGGTTTTGTTTTCACAGTGGATGGGGAGGTCAGCAGCGAAGGAGAGGCATTGACCTGCTGCCACCTCCTGTCCCAGGAAAGGCTGAAAACCTAGAGCAAGCAGTGACATCTGAGAATGGGAAAGTCTGAATGAGGCTGGTAACAAATTGTGCTATGGCATCACATGTAATGTATCCAAGCAGGAGGTGGGACCCGTTGTGTTTAGTGTATGTTCAGCTAGCAAGAGACATTGGGCCTGAAAATCACGCTTTGTTCAGATTGCAAACACGCCTGAATGCTCAGGATTTAGATCAGCATTTAGATCCATTGCAGCTATCTTTAGTCTTGGGATCCAGGCTCTGATGCCCTGCTACACCACGCAGATCTTCCAGGTAAGAGCTGCTGCTTTTGTTGAGTTAGCATGGGGAAGACAGCACCTGGTCTGTTGAAACTGTGGGACATGGAGTCAGGACAAGACTCCGAAGGTTGTCTTCATCCAGCTTCAGGTTGCTTTGTGCACAGCAGGTTGCTCCAAATAGTTCTTGTTTCATTGGCAGTTTCTGGGGAATATATTTTAAGGAGCTGCAACAGCCAACAGATTTGGTGTGTGCATGCCTTATTTTGAATGCTCTTGTATGGTTCGTTCCCATGGACTTTGAAAATGGAGCATAGAAAAATGGGAATAAAAAGAGCCTCACTGGTTGACTGCTCCAAACTGATGATACTAGGGAATCATACCTGCAGTACTGGGGCCTGAGGATATTCTGTGTGTATGTCTTATTGCAGTGTGAAGCTGCAGTAAGGGTAGGACTTGTTGGAAAATGTCACATTCACTTACAAAGAAGGGCAGTGCTGAGCTAACCACATCAATTTAAATCCGTCCTGTAGTTGCCGTCAGGAATCTTTGCTGTGTACAGCTGGGCTCAAACTGGTCCAGGTGCTCTCACACTTACTGGGATACAACTGCATCCGTTGTCCAGTCTCCTGGTGATTGCTTTAAGAGAACCTCAGATGCAGTTCAGTGCACGTTACTGCATGTGCTGGACTGCAGGAAGAGGAACTGTGCGCAGTGCTGTGCCACGAGAGGATCAGGCTGGGCACTGGGAAAAAGTGTTTTACCTTCTGGGTGGTCAGTCACTGAAACAGGCATCCTAGGGAGGTGATCCATTCCCTAACCCTGGCTGTGTTCTCCTCCTCACCATTGGCTGCCCATGAACAAGACACTGAAGTCTGTGAGGATCCTCTGGTGAGTTCACTCTATGGCTGAGGAGGAAAACATGTGGAGCCATACAAAGCCCTGGCTGTTCCCCGTGCCATGGGGTCCTCCCCAACCGCTCTGTGTGGCATCAGATGACTTCCACAGCCTTTTGCCAGATGGCAGGAGCTGAGGAAGGAAACCCCCCTTCCAGGCTGCTTCCTTCCAACCTGCACTTGCATTCTCACCCCAGCACAACTCTTTAAATCAAAATGCTTGTTGCATGTTCGACCCGTGGTTCGCTTTACCTTCTTGCTCAGCCAAACTCCAACGTGCTGCTGGTGAGCCATGCACAAGGGCTTGCAATCCTCTTGGTCTTGATGGGGCTGTTTTGGATGGGGATATGAAAAAGCTGAGATTGGAGACCCTGTGAGAGTGGGGAGCAGCGTGATACCCATCAGCATAAGGGAGGGGAGAAACTCCACGTGGGTGTTGGGCACCCAGCTTCGTGCTGTCCAGGAAGGCAGGTTAGGTGAGTCAGGCTCCTTTTATGTGCCATGTCCATGCCTTCAGTGGTTCCAGGGGATTTTTACCCCATTCAGAGCGAGTGTTGTTCAGTCTGAAGGTAAGTGGACACAAGTGTGTTTGGTGCTGGGTGTGGGTTTGATTGCTGAGCTGGACCTCATTCTTCATTTATCTCTCAGTGTAGGTAGTTTGAGCTTTTTCCAGTTCAAACTGTCTTTGCTGCTGGTGGGATGGCGTGTGATCCAATTCCATCCTGTTCAGCCCTTACAGAATTCAAGGTTGTTGAAGCTTCCTGCTGAAATGCAAGCTGCCTCTTTCCCTCCCATCTCCTTTATCCCATGAATTTGCCTTTCTCTCCATCTTTCATTCAAATCCAGACAAAAACTTCAGCCATATGAACGTCACTCCAGATTTTCATTTCCACTTGCCTCTGCTCTTCTCCAGTCCAGCTGGGAGCTGAGATTTCATAGAACCTGAAGAAAGACTTTTCTTGTGGTTTTTCTACGTACCAGAGAGAAAGAAGCATGGAATATTTTTTAAGGACCTGGCTTCTGGGGGCATTTTCAGTCTTGTTCTCCAGCGTTAGCCAAATTATCCAAATGTAGGTTCTAAAATTAGCCAACTTCTGGAAGCTTCACAAATAACACATTTGGGCATCAAGCTTGGGACTGCTCGTTTTCTTCTTTTGAAGCTTATTTTTCTGTTACAGGTGCTTGTAGAACCACAGGCTGTGAGCCTGGTATTAGCAAGCATGTGGAACCTTTGTGTCATGTCCAGGGGAGAGCTGAGTCCCATTGAAGGCTGGGGACAGATGTCATTCAGAGGTGAGGAGAAGTCAGTCCTGGGCACATTCAGAGCTCCTAACCACAGCTGGGGTTGAAACTTTTCTTCCAAAATGTTATTTTCGTTTAAAACAACAGCAATAATAATAGTAGATTTAATGCGATACAAATTTCTCTGGAATGTATCTGCTGTTTTCTAAAAGCATCCATGCTCTATCAGTAACTCAAAGCCAGAACATCATGGCTGAACAAAACTATTTACATGTGAGAGCTTTTCAGTTGAAAAGATGTATGTCTTGGAATTGAAAATCCTTTTTTACGGCTTTCATTTTTTATGGGAACACTGGAAAATTTCTCACTGGTAAGCTTTTATTCTCAAAAACCAAGCACTTTTCTTCTGAAGCAGACGTTTCCACGTTTTTTTTCTCATATATTTTTTCCTCCCTTTTGCTGCTCAGAGCGTTTCCCTCCGCTTGCTGAACTCCTGCTTAAAAACCAAATGTGAGATATGAGCGTTGTGTTGGGCCTGCTGAGCAGTCAGCCAGGCTGACTGATTGCAGCCACAAAAATGGAAGCTGTTTAGAATCATGGAATGATTAAGGTTGAAGAATACCTCTAAGGTCATCTAGTCCAACCATTCGCCTATATGTATATGTATGGTATATATATATACCACCAATACTGCCCACTGACCGTGTCCCTTGGAGGGGTTTGCCATGGGGTTGGTTGGTGATGCTTCCTGGCTCAGTTCTCTTGACCGTAGCGGTGTTGCACTCAGTCTGATGCAAGTGGGAAGGTGTGGCTTGAAATGTGTTATTTTGATGCCTTCGACACAACAGAATGTGCTCACCTTGCACAGCACAGCAATTTAGACTAATTCCAGTGAAGAGAAGGTGCAAGCTGGTGCAAGCTGGCTGCCTGCAAGTGGAAAACGGGCTCTGGAATCATAGAATCATACAGTCATTAAGGCTGGAAAGACCACTAAGGTCCAACCATCAGTCTCTCATCACCGTGCAGCTAAACCATGTCACTCAATGCAACATTTACTCTTTTCTTGTACACCTCCAGGGATGGTGACTCCACACCTCCCCAGGCAGCCTGTGCCAGTGCATCACCACTCTTTTTGAGAAGAAATTGTTCCTCATATCCAACCTGACCATCACCTGGTGCAGCTCGAGGCCATCACCTCTCATCCTATCACTGTTACCTGGAAGCAGAGGCCGACCCCCACCTCATCACCACCTCCTGTCAGGGAGCTGTAGAGGGCAGTGAGCTCTTTCCTGAGCCTCCTTCTCTCCAAACTGATCCATCCCATCCCTCAGCTTCTCCCCATAAGACTTGTGCTCCAGACCCTGCACAGCTCTGTTGCCCTTTTGTTGACTTCTGGGGTCACAAAAGGTGTCAAACACAGCTGGAAAGTAGTGTGTGATGATGAGGTGGCACGGCTGGTTCCTTACATCTCAATGCTCGATGTTTGAAGCTTAATAATAGTATTCTAATGTACATTTTATGTGGAAAAAATATGTCATTTGTTTATCTACCTCACAGCTTAAAGTTTAGTATGAGAAATGTATTTCTTCTCTCTACCTCTGGGTATTTAATAATAATAGTTCAATAATAATAGTTAGCATTAAAAGTTCATAACATTTTATCTTCAATAGCAAGCGTTTTACCTTTTACCTTGAATTTGTTGGTAAAATTGCACATTTCATACCTGAGTACAATGCTGATGATGTTAGAAAATGCTAGCTTGTCTTGAACCAAATTATACACTTCCCTCCAAACCTTTAATTCGTTTCCTCTGCATCAGAGATGGCAAAAAGTAATATAAATGCAGGAGAAAGAGAAGAAAGAACAGGCAGAGATGTTGGAAGCAGCATGCAGTATGTACATTTGTGTGAAGTGTATTTCAGTTAGAGCAGATGAATGCATGTCAATTCTGTTGCTATGTTATCCTGGTACCTTGTTAGCATTATTCAAATCAGTCCTGTTTTGCTTATGGAAACGTGGGTACAAGAAGGTGTCCCTGTGGGGAAGAGGAGCTCCGTGGGTAGGGGGGATCTCCCTTGCATGGAGTCCTCAGTAGGGCAGTGCTGAGCAGACAATGCAAAGAAAGCTTGACAAATGTCATTTGTTAGAGCAGAAACAGCAGAAAATCGAGGCCATGGAAAATATAAGCTTCATGCCAATTCTTTATGCTTGGCAGGGATTTCCTGATGGGGTATTTCAGGAGCCCTGCCACTGAGCCCTAGGGCCTGCGCTGGGATGGAAGGCTGAGGATGGGTTCGTTTAAAAGGTAAAATGTTTTGTCTAAATAGTGAAAAATGGTGAAGGACAGCATAGAATCTGTGCTGTCCCTATTGAGTGTCCATCCATCCTGAGTTGCCTCCTTCATGACAGTGCTTGCACAGACAGCTGTGTGCGATGCTCCAGGATCCTCCCCAGTGGTCATGGAAGGTACATTACCACCATCTCTGTGAGAACCAGCAGCCACTGTCTCTACATGGCAGGAGAGAAGTGTGTTTTAAAGAGCAATATTAATAATAGCAACATTAAAGTGTGAGGAAGGATTACAAAGGTAATTCCGAGATCTTGCTCACTAATGTAGGCTATTAACAAAAGATAATCACCTTTAAGTTAGTCACCTTTAGCCTCGGAGTAAAACAGAGGTACAGTTACTCAATTCAGTGCAAAAGGCATTTAAATAGAGATGGATGGACCTCCGGCTCTCTGTTCTTGCTTGGGAAACCAGCCAGGGCCAGGTTGTAAGGGGAGGAAAATGCAATGTAAAAAGGGCTGCAATAAGTGAATAACTCCCAGTGTCCTTCTCCCCCTTTTCTCACCCCAGCCAAATGCATTCATTTGGAGCTGAGGAGAAAGGGGAAAAATAGGAGAAATGCGCTGCAAAGCAGTTCTTCATGTTGCTTTTATGAGTAGCACATGGAGGCTGCGATGCTCCAGGCTGCCATAAGTTGAGGTCTGTGCCCTACGTCACAGCACGTGTTTGTGCTGTTGGAAAGCACACAGCCAAATGGTGTCAGCGCTGCTGTCATGTCCCCATCACCTGGTGTTGGTGGCGGAGGAGCAGCCTCTAAGGGATGGAGTGTGGAAATGGTGATGCATCAACAGAGGGAGGAGGGCTCAGGAGTGAAGGAAATTTTTATCAGACGTGGCCTCAGGGCTTATTTTTGTGCCAAGGGAACTTTTTGCTGCTGGAAACAGAAGCCTCTTTCTTTGCAGCAGCTGCTTCGTAATCCCCTCCCTTGTGTTTGCAGCCTGCGTTCTTCCCTCAAAGTGGCCTGTGGTTGCTGGGGTGCAAGGGCTTATTTCTGTACGGTTTCTTCTGTGCGCTACCTTGCTGCTTAAAAGAGTCATTGGAGTTTTACACCGAGAAGAAGGAGAGGATAGGGACTCTGGAAACTTGTGTGAGATGCCAGAAGTGACTTTGGAAGGTTCTTAGAGCAGCACAGACGAGCGGTTGTTGCCCTTAGTAGTGCCACGCTGATTCACCAGCTCAGTACAGCATGTCTCTAAAATGCCTGTTGCTTTTTGTTCCCATAGGCAGAAGCCCTGCAGCTGAGACACCCAAGACCTGCTCATTGCCTGGGCCTTGCTGCAGCAGGTAGCAGGCAGCCAGCTGTGTGAGCCTACGGCACGTGGCTCAGCACAACCTGTGCTCCAGAGGACGTCCAGGAGAGATTAGCAGGTATGAGAAATTACAAACAGTATCAAGTTTTTGGAAATGAAATGGAGAGCTGTTGTGACAGGCATTGTTAGAGGCTGCTAATCCACTGAGCAGAGAGTGGAGAAGCCCCAGTCCAGCCCAGTATAGGGTGGAATAAATTCCCTGTCTCTGTTTTATGTCCTGTCTGTGCAAGCGAGGGGCCTTGTGTGCTCATTCCTGCACTGTTCCCACGTGGCTGTGCTTGGATTGCTGCCTGCTCTGCCTTTATAAACAACATGGTAGGAGCTCAGTGCGTGATTATTCTCAGAGATACTATCACAGCGTTAGCTCTGGTTACTCATTTTCCACTGCACAGCTCACGTGCAGGTTCCTGCACTGTGGCCTGTCTGGATCTAGCCCGCATGTTGGGGCAGCCCCAAAATCTTAGTCTGTAGTGTAGTTTCTGGGTACAAACCACTGTGACCCAGAGCACAGGCTTGTGTGAGAACAGGACTGATGGGGGAGGGCTTCAGAAGAGCTTGAAGGACATGAGAGAGTCTGCAAATGCCCACCAAGGGACACCTTGTGTGGCAATGGGAGCTGCCGCTGACAGATCTCACCTTGCAGTGGTGAATGGAGAGCAGGAGGAGGCAAGGAACAGCAACCGGGTTTTGCAGCTGGACACCTTGAGGGCAGTGCTGCCAGTTTGGGTTTCCTCTGTGTGTTTGAAGGCAGTGACTCTGTGTGAGACACAACATTGCTGGAAGCCAAGGAGGTGTGATGGAGGGCAGGGAAGGGCAGTGGACAGAGGGCTGGGCTGTGTCTGCCCGCTGCCCAGCTCAGTAGGTCAGGGAGGGCTGTGCTATCTCGGGACTCCAGCACCATCTGGAAATTCTCTGTTTGTCCATCAGCACCTGCACTGCCACAGACACTGAACCTCGGGCTCTGAGCAGAGAGGTAAACATTTAGGACCCAAACCCAGGATGACAATAACCAGAGCAGAAACATTTCCATCCCATTGTAGCCTGCTTTAGGCATTTGAAGCCAGAATTTCTCTCTGGGGTTAACAAGAGAGAGCTGCCTGTTCATGGCACTTCACTTTGCCCCATTAAACCCTGCTGACACACTCTGCCCCTCTCCACCCCCTCCTTCAACTCATGCTCAAGACCCCAGTGGTGAATATCTTGAAAAGGCAGACAAATCGGCTTTGTAAAAAGCAGATTAAATTGACAGTGCATTTATTGCAGCACTCTGATGTTAACCCTTGTGCTGGTCTTGGGCAACCTTCTTGCCCCAGCAACGTGTAACAGTGGTGGTGGGATAGGTGGCATTGAGTTTGTGTTGGGTGCTGTGCTGGAGAGCCTTTCTTGCCCAGGAGGCTAAATCAGTACTGGAGTGGTTTTTGCCTTCCCTACTGTGTAAAAATGAGGGGCTGGAGCCAGAGGTCTGGGCAGGGCGTTGTGGATGCCTGGGGACTGTCTGTGGAGCGCATCCCACTTGAGAGCAGAATGGGTTCAGGGAAAGAAGAAAAATGAAGCAGCTGAAAATCAAGAACTTCTCATGTTTTCTTCATCTGAAGTCCTGAGTGATGAGCGAGCTCTCTTTCAGTAGCTGTCCATGAAAGAAGGCATATTCCCATAGAAGTTACTCACAGGTTCTTGATCAGCTCAAACGAGCACACCGCCTTCCTGCTGGATGAACCCACTTCGGCTGTAGGCTTGTTGCTGAGATGTGAGGTTCTGCCCTGCTGTCACCAGAAGACTGAGTTGTGAGAGCTGTGTGGGTGCTGGGCAGCCTTCCCTGGCTCACCAGAAAGGCAGCTTTGCCCTTCACATTCCCCTTTGGTTTGTGATGGGTGAGCCAAAGGAGCTGCAGACCAAGCAGGGACCTGGGAATTGTTGGCTCTTTGTATTCAACTGAGCCAAATTAAATAACTTTCCATTTTGTGTTACTCATGTCGTGGTGGAGGAAGAAGTGTTTTCCCCTTTCAGAAGTCCTGGAAGAGTGGAAGAGTCCTGGAGTGATGCCTTCTCTACGCAAGGTGCAAACACATTGGTGTTAACAAGTCCCAGCCCTGGAGGGACTCTTCTTCTCTGGGAGCCAGAACTGTTTGTAAAACTGCTAAGGAATGGCTTGCAGCATTCGTTATTTACTGTGACAGATTGAGCACCACCAACTGCTGGTCACCAAAATACCATGGATCAAGGCTGCAGCTCGAGAGACAGCTTGGAAGGAGAAAAAGTTAAAAAATATTAATGCTGAACTTTTTGTTCTGCTTTTGATAGCCTTTACAATTTGTGTTCTTAAGCTTTCCTCTGCAGCCACAGAATTTAGAAAAGCATTTGAAAAAAAAAAAATATCAGAGCTGAGATATTCTTAAAATCACATGTTTCCAGATGCTGCGGACTTGAGAGTAAAGCTCCAGATATAATCCTGAGATTTGGCAGCTCTGTTTGTATCGTATTAAGTGATGGTCTACAGCACTCGTTAATTACTGCAGGCTGAAAAACAGTTCTGCCTCCCGACAGAGGTCTTCTGCTCATTCTCAGCATAGAAGTTTTTCCAGTTCTTCTGGGTCAGAGGGAAATATCACTTTCTAAAGAGCGTAGGAACAAAAATATGCAGTGAGGTAACCTCCGAGTTGAGCTTTAACTGTATTTTTATACTTTAACAACGTACAACAATATAATTTTTATTCAGAGAGAGAGATTTGAGCGTAAAGAACAAAAGCGATCTCTCCATAAAGCTACTTCTAATTAATCATACAGGTAATTCTGTCTTTATGTGTTTCTGTGTCCAATCCAGCGTGGGCAGGTGCTGAGGTTGGTGATCCAGACTCTGTTGGATGTATCCAGCACCAACCTGCTGACAGATTTACTGACCTGGGCTTTGTGCAGACACCAGGAGAGGCCGTGTTACCTGGCAGGTATGGCACCGGTCTGAAAACATCTCCTGATGTTCTTCAGAACTGGTTTTCAGACCCTTGGTCAGTCACTCAGCTGCAGTGCTGATCATTGCTTGTGCCCTGTGAGTTGTTTGCATAGGTACAGAAGCCTTAGGGGCAGCACCCTCAGTCCCACGACTGGCCACGGGGCAACCCTGCAAGCCAAGCTGAGCTCCCTCAGCCTCTGCTGGGACAGGTTTATGGCAGCTTGAGCCGTGTCACTTGGCCACAAGTGGAGATGTCTGGGGTTCTGCTAGAGCTGCTGACCTATGGCTTAAAAACACAGAGTCAATAAGGTTGGAAAAGAGCTTGAGGTCATCGAATCCAACTGCCCACCTACCACCAGTATTGCCCACTGCCCATCAGTACTGCATCTGCCTGTTCCTTAAGCACCTCCAGGGATGGTGACTCCACCACCTCCCTGCACAGCCTGTGCCAATGCCCAGCTGCTCCTTCTGGGAAGAAATTCTTCCTAACATCCAACCTTGCTGCAGAGCTGATGAGGAGGGCAAGGTGGGGGGTGCTGAGTTCCAGCAAGCTGCCACGCAGACACAAACATCAAAGAGCTGGCACGTGTGCTTTGTGAAGCAGCTTTCTAGGTTTTACTGGGCCATAAAATACAGCGACGAGGATATAAAAACAAAGCTGTGATGGACTTAGCAGAGAGCCAAAGCAAGCGGGGCGAGAAATGATGGAAATGAGAAAAATAGCTATGAGCAAGGAATGATGTATCAGTGCTGTGTCAGGAGGAACAGATTTCGGAATAACTGTGAAGAGCATAAAACTGGTTTAGTCGTTAAGAAAAAGAAATATATAGGAAAAGAAAGGTTAAAAAAAAAGAAGAGAGAAAGGGAGAAGAAAGCCTGATAAAAATGAATGCAGGAGGGAACTTCAAAGCACAGATTTCCCGACTGCGTGACACTGATGTTTTGAAGAGTTGTGTGAGATAGCAGTGGTGATTTTAATGAACTTTAAAGAGCAGCATAAATAGGAACAAACAATGAGAGGCGATCGCATTAGCACGCAGCCAGCAGTGAGCTAATTGCCTGAACGGGATTGAAATGGCAGGTTATTATTGTTATTTTTTTTTTCTGCTTCTAAACCTATTTTTCTATTTGGGCTTAAGAAAGCAGAATGAAATAAACTCGAGCATCTCAATTTGGATGCTTTATTTCCATGAAGTGCTTGAGCTGCTGAGCCAAAGGGCAGTGAAATGGGTGTAGCAGAGAAAGGGGGAATCTTTTGTTGGCCTATAAGGGGGGTGGGTGGGTAGATGAATTTATTTTAGCTTGATATACAATCTCTCTCTGATGTTTCAAATGGATTTCACAGTGCGGATGCATGGGGACTCGGGGGATCAGAAGCATCAGAAATGGGAAAGAACAGGTCACCTTGTAGTGGCAGTGGGTCACCTTATTCTCATCCTGGGCTACAGCAGTTTTTCTTACGCTTTGGATTTTCAGATTAGAGCTTCTGTCTGTACTCAGTCTTGCTTTTTGCTTTCACGCATGCTGCAGCTCAGGGCTGGATGCCCCTGCAGCTGTTGGCAGCAGAGCCTGCAAGAGCCAGCTTTGGTCTGTTTATCAACACCTATACTGAGTCAAAAAGTGCTGGGACACGTTGGCAGAGACAGATAGTGAGCTCCAGATAGCAATTTCTGGTTCTTGGCCAGCTTCTTTTCTGACCTCTCCCAAAACTACTGCAATTAAGGGGATGATCTGCAAACTCAGCGAAGTCGTAGATAGGTTCATAGGAACCCTGTTGCAATAATGTAGTTGCAGGAGACAAGAGAGACAAATAATATCATTCATGCCTCCTTCCCTGGCTTGATAATTCACCTGGACATTTAGCTGTAATCACGGGCCAGATTAACTTTTGAGTTGGACATTTCCAGCCAAACCACTCTCATCTGTTAGTGGACAGAACCCCATCTGTTGCTTCTGGGGCTGGGTGAAGGGAGCCAGTCCTGCAGGGCTGCAATGTGGAAAGCCACCTGACCTGTGTAATAAGTGGGCTGTCTTGTTAGAGAAATGTGTGGTCCTACCAGAACTGCTAAGGAAGTTAATTAAAAACTCTAATCTCTAATTGGTTACATGAC